CGGGGGTACGATGGACTGTGCTCTCAGCAAGGTAACCGTAACTCCCAAGTACCAAACACGCACGTGGAAAAAGCAGCGGCTCTACCACCCAGACGAATTTTATTTAACACGAGTATTTAGGCAGGTAGCACCCGGTAATTGTACACTTAAGTTATTACCAGCACAGGCAGCGACAACTGTAATGACACACACCAAGGCGGAGCCTTCACTGACCAGTGTTCTTCCCTTCCCTGACGATTTCATGCCATGTTTCAAAGGTATCTGTGATTGAAAGAGAAAAAAAAAGAAAAAAAAAAAAACCACAAACCCCAAACGCAAAAAACCCCCAACCAAACCCCAATCTCATTAACCAGAACCAACGAGGAACAACCTGACCGGGTACGATAAATTTCTGCTTTCTAAACTGTTTCATCAAGAAAAAGTACTCCATTTTACTAAATACTCAGATATCTAAAGGAAGCTTCCATAGGCTCTGCTCTCCGTCCCCCTGCTGTAAGATGCAGGGTAGACCACAAAATGCAGGGAGTTAAGAAAAAGGTACTAATAAAAATCAAGTGTTTTCTCTGTGCACCATTCTATTCAAGTTTAAATATAAAAAAAATATTAAAATGCTTTGTATATACAAGCATATGCAGTCACAAGAGACTGCACGCTCTCAAAAAAGATGTCTACAGCAAATTTTCTTCTGCTAATACTACAGTGGCATCACAGACCACCCAGTTTCAATTATTTAAGCCCTTCATAGTTGCACTCTTTTTCACAACATACGTGAGATCACATGTTGCTCGAAAATAGAAAACATAAGTTTGTGATCAACACGATCTGTTCTGCCTAGTGCTTTACTCTGCGTCTTGCTGTGAGTAGAGAACAGGCAAAGAACACGTGCAAGCTGTCCTTGCCGGAGGGGGATGACGGCATACCTCTTGAAGCTAGCGGCACAGGAATAATTAACAGTACGTGCGTCTGAAAGTTTCTTCCACTCTCTCCGTTCATTTGGACAGTATTTAAAACATCCTTTTTCTCCCATGGTATTTAGACTAAACAGCATCTTTAGAAGCTTTAAAGAAGCTGGAGATACAGCAGAGTTTCTTTCGACCACTAGAATAATTTCTAGTATGAGAAACATAACTCCATTTGGGTACAGACTCCTCACTGCACAGCTGACCCTTCTGAGCCTCAAAGCTCTCCTCCCATGGGTACAGTTCGCTGTTGCTCACATTTAAAAAGAAAAGGGAGCAGGGCAGTAACTCTTCATGGCTTATCCGCGTCACCACGGAATACGAAGTAAAATGTCTATCACTCTGGTTTAAATTTCCGAAGATACTGTTCCTCGACAACGTGCTTTCTTCTGCTGCAAGCTGACATACGTCATTAAGTCCTAACGAGCAACGCTGGTTTGCTGACTTAGGTTGAGGCAGAAAGACAAATTTGTTCTTATAATTGCTTTTTCTTCTTAGATCTCAGCCTACTCAGTGCCTTGCATGAAGATGGCAAAAAAGCTGGTGAAAAGTGCCTATTTTGACTTCAAAACCAGTATAAAATTATTCAGAATGCACATGGCAGCAACTAGTAACCTATGTCTTTAAGAACATTATTTATTCATTTTTGTAAACAATCTCATTTTTAAACAAATTAAAAATACATTGAAAAGTCTCTCTATATATATACACACAGTACATGTTCAAACTTCACTTCATTGTGATGCCATGGTTTAAGCAGAAAAACAGAGTTCTTGATCCAAAACTCAGCTGCATTACGACCATCTTCGGCAGTACAGCACACCATGCTGCCAAGACTCTGCCCTTTCAGGAATAATTCATTTGTTATTTATCACCTGAACCGTTTTCCGGCCATAGTGGTAATAGCTGTATGCAGATGTTACCGTTGTGAAAGCTGTGATGCACCTTTGGGGAAAATAGTTCCTGTAAGTCATCCGAGTCTAAGTACGGTAATAAAAAGTGTTACTTTTAAGCATCTTTTCTATTTTTCACTACACAGTCAAGGACTACGTCCTACAGAAATGCCATTTACAGTTTATATGCTGCAATTCAGCGCTAAGTGGCGGATTAGATAAACAAAGGAACTGCCATCCAGCACTACGTAGCATGCTTCTGTTTAACTGCATGCTATGCCACATTTTTAACGTATTAGCACTTGTTCTAGAGAAGGGAAGACAAAAGATTCGGTATTTGTAGCCTACGTAATTTTTACCAGCTTGAGAATTGACTGATATGAGAAACTATCCCTTGGTAGTAAAAAAGGGGAGTGTTCAAATCATACAAGACTTGAACTTATCATTTTACAAAGTTCCAAAGCTAAAGCACGTTTCGGCTTCAGCCTCTTTTGTTCCCTTCCCAGAAGTTGGGTAATAACCATATATGTTTCTAAATTAGCAGCGCTCCTCCGTGTCCAAGGCTGACACCATTCAGGTGTGAGCCACCGCTGCAGTCCTGCCCCTCCGTTACCGCTGCCCTCCCTGGACACATTACCAGACTCGGGTCATTTCTGAGAGTGTTTATAGAGGACCCTGGTACGTTGCACCCAGCATTCCTCCGCTCCTCACAACATGGTAACTCTCTCATAGAGTCCCAGACAAGCAGCAAGGTAACGTCTTTCACAGATGCAGTTCGAGATTTGGCTTTCCAACAGGATGAAAAATCACGTTGACTGTTAAGATTAAGGTTCCTAGTTCCTTAAAAGCTTGGGTTTTGCGTTTGGTGGTTTGGGTTTTTTTCCCCTCTAAAAGACTGGCAACACTGGATTTTCCACTACTTTAAACTAAGTTACTACGTAATTCTGCTATCTGCCCTTCAGCCTCTTTGTTCTGAACTCTTACCTAACTGCTCAGGAGAAATAACTGCACTTGTAACACCTGCCATCGGCTACAATTCAGAGTCAGTTCAGGTCTCCAATGGCAACACTGAAAGGAACAGCCATTATGTACGGGGGCATGCTCCTGCATGCCTGTTTTCATTCGATCCCTCCCCTTCCTTCCTATAGTCTAGCAGGAATCACCAATCTCTTCAGTTGCTTTTCAAAGAGGCTTCAGAAACCTGGATTTCAAGACAGCAGGTACAGTATAAAGCAACAATAAGAAAACACTTCCCGTCTATTTTTACTGAAGTGAAGGTTGCTTTTTCAAGGACACTTATGGCATGAATAAAGGACCCATACAGCCTTTCTTCCCACTCCCTTCTCTTCTATTAATCCGAATTTACACTTTGCCTGTGTACACCATGTCTATTCTGAAGACTTCTTAGCTATTATTCCTGGATCTTAACTAGCTTCATTTGACTACTTTTTGCTTGTATAGTAAATTAAGTACTGATTAAAAATCTAGCTCCTGTGCCAGTTAATAAACAAACGTGTAAAAATTCAGGCATATGGGTCTATTACATCATCTGGGCACAGTTTTTTTGTTCTACAAAAATCTCAATTACCAGTTCCTTTAGGAGTACATTAAATTATCTGAAAAAAAAGTGAAAAGTTACCATAATGTCTGCAGATATATGCTGTCCACATAATTGAAAACAGGAGCTGCTAA